AAAAAAAAAAGTATCTCCTGTGCTCTTCTGCAACAAGTCAGCCCAACAAGACTGAAAACTTATTATTCCGACAATATATGAGAAAGTGGAGCATAAAAATCCGTATGGATGTCGCGTTAACGGCAATAATCGCCAACGCACATCTCGAAATTATTGAGGACTAGCTGATGTACCTTGCCCGGGCATCACCCCGATTCACCATCTTTGCAGTTATGTGTGACACGAGAGACCATAATCTATCATTGACTTTATTTACAAATAATAAAAATATCAGAGACAGAGCCTTATTCCAAAGCGGTCATGTTATAAAGTCATTTAGAAAAGCATATAATGTAGCGATAAAAATTAGGAAAGCTTTAGCAATGCATTCTGATTTCTTTTTCTTTTTTCAAGGTTTGTTGCACATTTCTTGAAAATGAAACAAACTTCGAAATGTAAAAGTCCGAGTTACCATTATTCTTCCCTTTATCTCGTCTTACACTTTCAATTCAAAGCGCTTTGGTATACGATATTTTTGGTCATTTCTTCTGGTGTGTAAATACACAGATTTTCTAGAATTTGGTTAATCTATAGATCCTCTTTCTTTGAAGAGATTTAATTTCCGATGTGCGGTTGATTTCTGTCATTTTCTTCGTTAAACAACGAAGAATACCCGTTTGTTGATTGCATTTTCTTAGCTACCAGATCGTAGAAAAAGTAGACGCATTGGGTACTGTGTATCTCGCATTCGTTGGCAACAACGGTAACATCGAATATCTTAATTCACAGTGACGTTTGTTGTGACGCGCGCTTAGGCAAATTGTCACCTAAATCCCTTTTTATGTTCATCCGCAGCATAAGAAGCTCCGGTGACATAGAATTACCATTCGCTGTTGCATCCTGTATACTTTTGCGCCACTTTTTATCAGAGTTCGTCGTAGAAACATTTTCTACAAACGTAATATCAAACATATTTTATAGAAACTCATAGAAAGAAGGAGATTCAAGTAACCTTTTTCGGTTTTTGCTACTGTAAATGGAAAACCTGTCAATGATGTCATCCCCGATGAATGTTCTGCAATAGTTTTCTAAATACGACTTCTCGAGCATCTACTTTCGAAACCGCTTGGTTCTTACGCTGACTATACTAAGGAGCATATCTTCCACTATCCATGATTCCATGAAATCTTTTGAGTATTAAAACTTTTAAAAACGAGAAAATTCAAAAAAATTTGGAACTTTGTTCGAAAAATTTTTGGGAACTTACTTATTCATGTATGTACACCCCTCGTCTAACACTATGCACACTTGCGTCGAAGCAATGAAATTTGAAATATTTTTCAAAGCGATGCTGAGCTGCTCCCCAACAGGTAACCCTGAAAATGAGCCTTTCGACAATTTTCTAGCCTTTTACGCACGATAGTTTTCGGGTAAGCTTAAATTTAGCGTAAAAAGTCGAAAATAGCGGCATTTTCGTTCTTCGGCTAATTCTATCTTTTCGGTATGTGGCAGTGGAAAAAATATTTAAGTGCTAGAGATACTGGATAAAGAATGTACATGCGTGAACAAGTTAGAGCTTCCTATAGATATTACGAGCAGGACTCTGAATTTTTCTCGAGATTTCGGGTTCCTAAAACCTTTTAGATTTTTTCAAACTCAAAGTGGAATTATTCTATGCAAGTTTTGGATGCCACTTGTACAGCGTGCCTTGCTCTATCGAAAGAAATCCTAGAGCTTTTTTAGGAATCAAGAGATGGGAGTTATGGTTATGAAAAGTGAAAATGGACGAGGCTTATGGCAATATACGAAAGCAGTATTTAGGCAAATTAAAGCTGGAGCGGGAGCTTATATGATGAGTTCGCGGCCGTGAAACTTTACTGCAATCCCGTCCTAGCCGTGCTCTACCGTACGCAAGACGGCATTTGGTACGCTTTAAGATAGCGCGGCCTGAGCAGCTTTAGACCTAAGGCACACCTCACGCGATTCCAGTCGCTGCGCGATCTGGATCTGCAACGACCCTTTATACAGTCTTTTCAACCGTAGTAGGCGAAACACTCTAAGCAGAGCAGCGTCCGTTCCGCCATCAAGAGACGCAGACCGCAAAACTGCGCGAATCGTTGTGGAGCGGTCTCCCGCTAGTCCAATTTCCGCCTAAACTGAGTTGAAACTTACTATAATTGGTCGTGAGCGCGCTTCGCTGGAGCCAAACTTGCTGCGTTTGCTACAACTTACGGAATCTACGAGCCCATGCATTCAAGACCCGCGCATAGTTAATCTGTAGACATCTGGCAAATCGCCAAGTCGCTTGGAGGTCAACTTCGCGAAATCGCGGGAGGTATGCCTTAAGCCGTAGAGGTGATTTCCTCGGCTGCGAATTCATATGGGCTGCGCTTTAGCAACCTTAATTGAAGGCAACATCCGGGCAAATTCGAACTTCCTGCTATATCATGTATAGGGCATTCGAAAAATCGTGACGATGGCGCGACCGCGCGCGACACGCACGCATTTGCGGCAACCATCTCTACTAACATGGTTTTTCTGCTTGAATATGATATGAGGCAAACACTGGAGACTGAGCTGGAAGTTAAGGTGATGCCTTTTTGTATGAGTGTTTTCTGCTTATGTGGGCGCAAAGACGCAGTCAAATCCGTCGTCACGATTTTATGAATGTCCTATACTAGAGTACCACGGCCGATCTAGAGCTGCGCAACGGCTTTGAAACACCTAAATTTATTCGAATCCCGCTATTCGACGCCAAACTCTTCGAACAAATCTCCTCAAACGAACTCCTGAGCTCCTGCGTTTTCACATGGCAAACACACTCGTACACATACTGTTGACCTGTCGATGCTTGCTTTCGACAAGGACAGCCAGAAAAACTTGTCCACGGTAGAAGATAGCAAAATAGCCCCAATGAAATGATTTTTCTGGGGTATCCATGATTCCTAAGTGCCATATTTGAGATCTGCGCGAAAAGGCCAGAGTAAGGCAAAGGTGGAAGGTTAAGAATCTGCCCGGACAATGCCTTCAAGGCTTCTCGCTCAGTAACTGCGATCAGATAAGCAGATTAGCCCTGACACTGTCTGAAAGTAACTGTTGACGTTTAAGTAACCTTTCCATTCGTTTGATTTCTCATATAATGAACATCTAATTTCTGTCCAAAATGATGCGCTCACTATACAATTCCTCTGTACAAAGAGCTTCCGCCGACATTAGCGATTTGTTCACGAAAACAGATCTCCTTGATGGATGCGAAAACAGAATGGTTCCTATGGAAACGCAGAATAGCAATGGCACTTGTAGCATTACTTGAATCATCTATATATTAGCTGGTGGAGCGCGCACATCGTTTGTCCTACATACGGTGCATGCATGCACAATAGCGTCTCAAATTCTGTGTCTCGTTTTGAAAAAAAAAAGCAACTAGCCTAAAATTCAGAGAACTTTACTCTTGTATACCGTGTTATCTTTACATAGCTTACGTAAAGGCCTCGTAAAATCCAATAGCCCACCCCGCTTGCAACACAACGCGCGGAGCGCGGGGTCCCGACGCGATATAAGCTATAGTGCCTCGCGACAGCCGCTCACCTGCTGGTGTTCAAGGCACGGCGCGGGCAATTAGGTTTTACGCTGCCTGTAGGAGTAGTGCTAAACAGATTTTTGAAGTTGAATTACAAACAAAACGGCAAACTCTTCTGTTCAAAACCAACTCCTCCTATGACATATTGAAGTTAAGTATTTCCTCGTAATATTGCATATTAGGCATTACTTATTTCTGTGATAAGTGGATGCGTGTGGCTTATCATGCCATGTAGCAAAGTGCAGACACCGTGACGAGCAGCGAGTAGTGGACTTTGTTAGCTGCAATGAAATGAAGGAAAACCGTTCATACGATTCGTACAAGCTTTAGCAAAATCAATTAGCGTAAACAGATAAGGCATCATATGTGAATCCCGATGCGCTTATACGGAAATGAGCGACGTAGATACGAATGTTGAACGATGACGTATAAGGCAGGACTTCCTGATTAGTTCGTCGAAAGTATGACGCGAAACAACAAAAACTTCCTCAGACGATTTGCGCTGTCCATAAGACTTCCCGGACATGTAGATATGTAGCATACGCTGCTTGACGCAACTCGTATGGCTCGTTTTCTGTCCTCCCCCCCCCCCCTCCCATCTCGCCCGTCCTGACCATAGCGCATCGATCGATTATAGCAGGAGGTCTCGCTCTGCGCTCGTCCCACCCACGCTCTTTTCCTCTTCTTTCAGGGTCAATTTTTGTTGTTTACTCTTCTATTTTCATCGTCACTGTCCTCGCAACTCTCCTGTGTTTGCTTGTTGGACTAGGCGAGGTTCTACCATGGATCAATATCGCCATGTGCATGCTTTAGTAATACTAAAATGGAAGTTCTCTGTCTTTGCCGAACTCCTAAACATACGAATTGTACTTTGTATGTGTCTTCGATCCAGCCAAACCGATGCTTACCGACACTCAGCTCGCCCCGCCTTGTTTTGAGTCAGATCTGTGTTCGGTGTATTGACTCCACTTGAACGTTTCTCCTTCACTCTCGTTCACTGCACTCGTATGAAGAAGACTCAGTTGGAGCCACGTCATCACAATGTGGTCTCCTTAGTATGGCGAATGTTTCATTCGTATTTTCATCTCAATGAAAGTATATTAGTTGAATTAACAGCTGACAAGCAGCACGTGCGCTCTGTCCATATTTCCAACAGGTCGTTCCTTGAATATCTGAGAACTCCATGTGTCCTTATATAGGGCAGAGTGCATATCCATTGTCATCGGCATTTCGGACGGCAGTCAGCTCATCTGACGTTCATAGTCGATACTGAGCGTTATCATGCAAATGCAACGCGTTATACATGTAGTAGGGCGACCTGGCCTCCGATCCGCTTACTCACCGCAGCTGAATGAGTAAAGAAAGGCGCGTTCATCTCTTTGTTCATTCGCTTTATTGTTTTTGTTCGCTCAGAACCGCCTGATGTCCACTATGATTCCATCACACATGGCCGATCGTGATCAATGTTCGCACAAACCCTCTCCGAGCCTTGACATTCTTCGACATCATTTTGCAATTTTCAGAGTTATGCGGTAGTGGCAACAGCATGAAGACAGCATGAGCACGATTGCCTCATTATTGGGAAGAATACAAGGGATGATGCAAAACACTGGGGTAAGCGGGATTTCATATTGTTGAAACTTTTACTTTGAAGATCTTTTCATCTCTTTTTGTTTTATCCTTTATCAGTGCTAAAAAACTTCGCTAGGAATTATATGAACACATTTTCTTTGAAGACGACTTGTTTTCTCTCGCTCCGCAAATGGATTACAATGAGCAGCTGATGAAATGAGTTGAAACTTATGGTTTCCCGGAAAATTCATTAACTGATCATAGCAAAAGACTTTCTAGAATGGGTCCTAGTCACTACATACGTTCCAGGATGATTTTCAGTTATGTCAGAGCAGCGAATATTTTTAGAAAATTACAGTTATTTGTTAAGCGATTTTGCTTGAATTCTTACTGTCACTACGAAAGTTCACTCTTAGGTGTGACAGCTCTTCTTTTCTTCTGCTTTTTTTTACTTTTGCGTGACTTTCTTCACAGTCGTAAACGCTTGAAACACTTCGAAATGATGGATCGATTTCATTAAGTGCTGAAAAGATAGACTCAGATGGGAAGTTAACCTTTTCGCACAAAAGGGTCAAATTTATTATTTTTCGTTGGTAGAAGTTGGTCAGAGAGAAGATACCTTTCATCATATTCACAGATTGAAAGCTATTTGATTATCTCCTATACTTAAATTTAGTTGAAGAAACGCTTAGTCATCGTTTTACTTGAAGTTACTCAATGTTACCTAACTAGTTCGGTTAGTGAAAGAGTTTTTGAGGGTGTGGAAGATTACTTTTGACAGCAATTATTCATCTTTTTTACATGTACCTTTCAAATTCTGGTTTTCGACTTTTCTGATGCGTTTTCCTCTATGTTTATAGTGAAAATAATAGCATTTATTTCGTACGAGATCCGTGGTCAGAATAGATTCATAGAAACTATTCAATCGCTTTGGCATGAGCAGGACATCAAACCATCTAAGCTTGTTGTTTTAGGTGAGGTATATTCACAGTAGTGAATCCTTCATCCCAGCAACGTCATCCCTACCGCTTAGCAACCATGTAAGTTTTCTCGGATTTTCTCATTTTTCTTACCTTAGTTCCGTTTATTTATTAAATTTTTCTTATAATCTGAATATGATTGGGAAGGCAAACAAATCAAAAGCACTGATATTTAATCAATATCCCACATCTCAAGTTTATGTCATTCAACAAATCTCATTCGAAAGTTTATTGCTTGCAAAACGGGAGGCGCAGCATAATCGTCTAAGATATTGCAGTCTATTCAGAATGAATAGGTCCTCAAAGATATATATGTCCACATTTATCTCTATGAGTCATCCCTGTTTAAAAAAAGTGTGCTCGTGCTGCTACACTTGATGAAAAAACCGGTGTAGTGTCCTGGTGAGTCAGCTCATGTTTCGTGATTAATGACAATATTCCGGTTTTATGCATGCTTCAGTTTGCAAATATTCATTATGCGAGGTGTAATAATATTTTAGCTGTAAACACTGCGGGGCAGAAAGGTTTTGCATGTGTTTTTCCATGCTTTGTGAGCAGAAGAAAAATGTGAGAATAAAGTCTTGGTATCGTAGGATGCATTGCTTGTGCAAAAGACAGAGGATTTGCCCTTTCTAATCGGATACTATATTGTTTTTCTTTAGGATCGCCGAACTCTCTGTAAAACGTTCAAATTAATGGACGACGTTGTCAAAGCATGTCAAAATCACAGGCTAAATTTGAAAAACTCTCCACCATTCATATTGGACATATTGCCTGATACTTATACACAGGTAGCGAATGCTTTTTTCTACTCTTGCTGAATGTTTCCGTTTGTTTATATAGCATTCAAGTGCTCCCCAATCACCTGATCAATCGAGTGCTCCCCAATCAGATCATTTCCAGCTTGTCTATATCTTCACTCAAAATCATGTTATTCTACGGGACAATTACTATATACAGATCTTCCTGGAGAATATGCAACAAAAATGTAAACAGGTCAGTCATTTTGCTCATTGTGCTGGTCCTAGCGTCATACTTCGACTTTCCCTCAGTACTGCTTCAGAGGGAAAATTTTTTCTGCTGACCGCGGCTAAGTAAATGAATTTAGTAGTTGAACCCATGACAGTTGCATTTCCAAAGAATCATTGTAGTATGCATAGTCATGATATAATCAAGATATGCACATTTTTTCAAGGATGTTATCTTCAAATTTCAGGTACTCAAATTATTCAAAACCAATGCTATCTTCGAGGAACAATCACAAGAGAGACGTACTTTGACGAAACTATCTCTCATCTTCTCTCATATGCTGTTCGAACTAAAAGCTGAATTTCCTGATGGGACTTTTATAGGTATGTGCTGGTAGCTTATCTGGCGTTCCACACGAACAGTTCTTTTTTAGGGGATAAATTCCGAATAACAAAGCGCGAGGCCGAGGATTTTTGGAATACCAACTTTCACAATAGGTTCTTGCGCTTTTACCTTTACTTTTCCGACACAGAACGAACAATATTTTTTGAGGACATGTGTACCTTGGAGCGAGTTCGTTGTTGCTATAGAAAAGTCTCAACCAAACTCGAAGTTGAAACTGTCTGCCCTCAAAAACACCGTAGATCTTACTGGGAACGACCATGTCTCAAATTTCGAATTCGATGTTTTTACCAGGTCCGCAGTAGTTTTTTTTGTCTTCTAATAGTGGCGCAAGTTCAAGTTTCTGTATTCAGATTATTTTATCCATGGAAAACACTATTACGGAACTGGCAGTTGCTAACAACTGCCCATCCCGGGTATGTTGCATTTCTTACGTATGATGAGGTGAAGAAGAAACTGGAGAAGTTGGTGGATAAGCCTGGAAGGTAATTTTTGATAGATTCATTCCACCTTGAGCATTCGGCATATTCTTATTCACTCCACTTCAGCTACGTCTTTCGCCTCTCTTGTACACGTCCTGGCCAATGGGCGATAGGCTATGTCGCTCCAGATGGCAAAATATTCCAAACCATCCCGCAGAATAAGTCACTAATTCAGGCCCTGCATGAAGGTGGCAAGGAGGGATTGTGAGTTTGCTTACATGTGTGTTCTTCTCTCTATCGCATTCTGAATGGTTCAGTTACCTGTATCCCAACGGCAACCCAAAGGATATAGATCTGAGTACCGTGATAGAGGTACCTCCTGCAGACAGAGTCAAGGTGGGTTCTAATGTGTATATAAACATTTAGACAATTTCCGCTTATTTCCAGGTCACTAGTGAACAATACGATCTTTATTGTGAAATGGGGACGACTTTTGAGCTGTGCAAAATATGTGACGATAACGATAAAAACGTGAAAATAGAACCATGTGGACATTTGCTTTGCACTCCATGTCTTACTAGCTGGCAGGTATGAATTTGCTTGTGTCATTTGTTTGTTTGTTTTTTGGTTCGTCCGTATAGTTACAGCAACAAATCATCTTATGTACATACTGCGAAGATTGTTAGTGTAGTTCTACTTCCCCAAATTTGCTGCAAATCGGGCTGCGACCGGTTTTGATGAATAGTTTCGTTTTTTCCCCCTAGGAAAACTCCAAATGACTGAAGTTGGTGTCACAGTAGATGTTATCCGGCAAGCCATTTTTGCTCTGATGGGCCTCCTTGATCAAGTGTTTGTTTGCGAAAGTATGAGAGTAGATTGACCTGGGACAACTGAAAGATTTTGGAGATAAACGTTTCTCTTACATGCTATTGTGAAGAGGAGATTTTCTTGCATTTAACGTCATGTCATTAGATATCGCTAAATCAAATTTACTGAACAGTGCTGGATTTTATATGCTGATGAGGCATAATCTTCGTAATTTGCTGTCTCAGAAGTACTTTGAAGACATACGTTCATGTTTAGCCTTGTTTTAGGAATCAGAAGGAGGAAATACATGCCCGTTCTGTCGTTATGAAATAAAAGGCACCAACAAGGTCATAATCGATAGGTACAGGCCAAGCCGAAGAGAAAGGCAGAAAGACTCTGTCAAGTCCAGAAAGTCCGTTAACGTGAGTTTTGAGCTCTATAACCAATTTCTATTCTACAGTAATGTAGCGAATCAAGCTGTCTAGATATGTATGTAGTGTTCATTTATCCTAATATCCTAGTATGTAATGATCCTAAAGTTCGTAGTAGTGGCGTCATCGGCCTGCTTACTCCCTTCACTACTCTGCTTGTCCTGCAAAATTACGAATGCACCCATGTTCAGTCTATAAGTAGCACAGATTAACGTTTGTTTTTAATCAGTGTTTTCTCAACTAAAATCCTCTCAGGTGTGTGATACGAATTCTACTGCAGCATCTTCTCCCTTGATGGGTTTGCCAATCGGACCACCACCACCACTTCCGCCCCGACCTTCTGCTACGCATACCCCGGAACGGTTTTCGGTATGTGGTTTAGCTTGTATTTTCATTCAACGGCTGCTTGTCTGCTGAGATACACGTAAGGCTCTCGTGGTGTATGAAAGACACGATAGTCTTATTTGTTTACAGTAAACAATATAGATAAGGCAAGTTTGTTACCCAATCATCCCACATGCAGCGCAACTTTTGCTGCTGAAAATGTAGACAGTGGCAACTGTTTATTGCTTTAAGAGGTCTCGCGATCCGAGTTATGTGAACGTACCCTCAGTGGTCGCACCGCAATCGGCTGCGTCCACACCTGCCGATTACGTGAACTCGTCGGCAATTCGAGACTTCATCTGAAATGTCGGGTATTTTGTATCCTGTATATTCAATAGATATTTATTGAAGTTTTTGTGAATTTGCCATTTTATATTGAATTCCAGCTGTCGTCAAGCTTTATTCAGTCACCTTCTATTTTTTTCCATCTGCTAGTTATTGTTATTCAAGAGTTATCAGATTGTTACGAAGTTTCATACCGTCAAATTGTGAGAGATGCTCTATTCTATCCTATTGATCACACCGTTGCTCACATATCAGTATCGATACGTTGCTTAGGAATTGAATTTGAACTGAGTCGGCGAGTATGAACTGTAGCATCTTTGTGTTCTCTAGTTATAACCTCCGTTCGCATTACGGGTCTTGCAAGGTATTCCAAGTGGCATAAGTAGCTGCACCATGTGAACTTAATGTTACTAGTATTTCGGAGATTATCTCTAATAAATTATTTTTCATATGTATTTCTCGTTGCGGGTAAACTTAACGCTGGAACAGGGAGGGGATTCCACCTTGTCTCAGAAATGTGCTGGATCATTGAGGACTGTAGGTACAGAACTAGAGATTCTGTGAATGAAGCGCACGCCGATGTGCCTAAAGCACACTGTGGAACATTTTTCTTTGTTCAAGCTAACTTAGTTCGCTTTCTGAGCCTTGTTCTCGCTATAAGATCAGATTTTGGGAATGAGTTAGAAAAAGGGGAATTCACTGTATTGGAATCAGCCCACATCTCCCAAACCACTCACTCTCTTCAAATCAGTGTCTATACAGGTTCCAAGTATGAGTACCAAGTAGCAATCATCTGAAAAGTTTCTAAGGTTTGCAGCGTGGCTTAGAGAAAGCCTCTTCTTGTCACGTTCACACTTTCCCAAGAGGAGTTTTAAATTCAACCTAGTGGATAAGCCTAGTAATCAAGAATTTGTGGAGTTCTGCATTCAGCACAGCCAAGGATCAAATAACAAATAATAATAACAAATACCTCGAAGTGTATGTCTGCAAAATTTGGTTCGGATCGGTCCAGAAATAAAATTTTGTATTCGGAACATACTTACAGACTTCCTTACATACAGGCAGACAGGCATTCAGCTAAATTTATAAGACGTGCTGGCATCCTGGGTCCCACCTCGGTTTGGAGCCCCATCGCACTTGACCTCTCATGTGGTGAGACTTATCCTTCTTTTCTTCAGACTTGTTTTAAGCTCGCTTCCTACCGTCCTTACCATGACTCGAAGACCAGCAGATCAAAATGCGCTTTACCGTTCATCCTTCATGACTATGAGGAATGTGCACAGACATACAGATCTTCTGCTTTATATATATATATATATATTATATATATATTATATATATATTATATATATAATATATATATAACATATATATATCAGTGCCTCCCCCCCCCCCCGAAAATGGGTTGCGAAAATTTTGAAAGCTGCGCGAAAGAGGTGTAGCGTCCAGAAGAGGCGGGCGCGGGAGAGCAGATGTTGCTGCACCCGACCAGGGCCCGGCAGGAGGTGGCATTTCAGAATTTTGAAAACGATATACCCTTTGAAGCCAAAATTTCTTACGACTTCCCCTTTGACCCTATTTTTGACCCCCGTAAGTCCCTGACAAACAGATATACACAAATAATAAGATGGGCGGCCTTAGCGCTTATTATAGTAGTACTACCTGGCTTTCCTGGTCCAACCCGGGTCATCAAGGTTTCAGCTCAATGGGTTCATCCGCAAAGGAATCTATAAAAAACATAGGATCAATCGTACTCGAGATTTTATAATGCTATTTTATAGATATTTTTCATAATAGAAGCTATAACATGTAAGAGACGCATATTGTGCTCACCTCGCTGAGTTAGAGAAATGTCCAACAAACATCCGAATATTCGAATTCGAAATTTTGCAGCCTTGGGATGGTCAAAAGGCAGATTGAACTGAATGAAACCAAAGATTTGTTCCAGTTCTTGTCTTACATAGAATTTATACAGGGTGTGGAAAAAATATTGTCCTTCTAATCTGCGTAATAAAATACCTCACAGATGAGAAGATGTATAGTCTTTTAGTTCGTATGTGTAGGCGAAATTGAAGATTAGACTAAACTAACAATAAGTTCGATTCTAGACGGTCTCGTTGCGTCCATCCGAACGAGCTATATTGTCAGGATGCAGTTGGACTGCATCAGCTGTTCGGAGGCTGGCCGACGAGAGTCGAGCCCGGCAGTGACCCCCGTGGCCCGGACACCACCCGGTTGCCACCATCCCCCTATCCCATCACCCTTGCATATTATGTAGATAATAAATATTTATATAAAATATTGTAACCCGCTACACATCAGGTTAAAGGGAGTAGCTAGCCTTTTATACCTGCCATGGAGGTCCCGGTGAGATGGTACGAGGCTATTGCCAGCCCTAATGGACTTTAGAAGGATGAAGGTTGGGTTGGGGAAACTACAAGGAGACCCAAGAAGCAACCAGCTGGGATGGCTACTAGGATATAGAATGATCTAAGCTTCTTCCAAAGGAGGCGGGTCATCTTTGCATTGTAATTCTTACAAAAATCTGGGAGGAGCCAGCCATCTGGAGCATATGTTCTTAGGGTGTAGTAATTCTGACCTTCCAAAAAAAACTATTTTCAACTTTATATATATTATATATTATACAAATATTTTTTTCTGGAGTAGCTATAGCTGCATATGCGGATAAGCCTGTTACATAACTGTAGGCGTGTCAAGGATTAAAAGTTCTGGTGCAGGGTATTATGCACCAGACCTCATTTGGCATCCATATCTTATTTTTTCTTGCTTACAGAGCGGTTGCTCTCTTCTTAGCTCCTGAATTTGTTATGATATTTTGTTAAGCCTATTTACTTAAACAAAATGTTTTTTTTTCAGATAAAATGTCGTCTTTCGGTCGCGAAAATAATGGGACTCCGTATCCATCTCCGACTCCTTCAAACTGGTCGCCGGAGTCACCGGATTGGAGCAATGTTGTTTCCCCAGGCTAGAGAAGTGTTTCTCCAGGTTCGCAGTACTCATCCGTAAGTATAAATTCAAATTGTTCAGTGTTTCTTTTTCAACTTGGGAGAGAGAGAAAAAAAACTTCGTTTTTTTTTATAATATTTATATTTAGGTAAGTGAGATGGAGGAAATTCTGCGCCTGAGGGCAACAATAGAAAGCCAGGCAAATCAAATACGCGTGCTGGAGGGAACGGTGCGTGCTCTAGAAGAAGAATTGTCCACCCGCGCCGAACGCGAAGCTGGCATGGAAACGATGTTGAAACGGACTTTGCAGAAAGAATACGAGACTGCTTTGGAGCACGAAGGAATTGTGGAAGAATATGAAGCGCGTCTGAAAGCCCGAGAAGACATCATTGTCTCTCTGAGGAAGGTAAGTAGAATAACTGTAATTGTATTTTACTTATGATGCTCTTTCCCATTAAAGGAGAGCGAATGGATGGTAGATGATTTGCGAAGAGCGCGATGCTTTCTGCCACTCAAGAGGGTCAACCCGTTGGAGAACGTCTTCCGACAATCGCAGGAGGACGAGCTCCTCCTCGCCTATCTATCTCGTTCAATGGTGGAGAAATCCACCATTGAGATTCAGCGAGATGGTAGGGCGTTCTTGACGCTTCTAATGGTCGACAATACGACCATTAGTGGTAAGTGAAATAAACATTATTTGTTTCTTTTAATGAGATAGTGGTACTAAAGACGTTAACGTTTAGGTTTAATGGAGCGCAACGACGGAACCCCATATAACTGGGAGGAAATCAACGACGACAACGTTTGGAGAGGGGACCGCCCAGGATTGAAACTCCAATTCGGGCATATAACTATCATAAACCTAGGAGGGTTTATGTATATGCCTCCGAGGATGGCTGCGTTGCTGAAGCGCAGTGTCGAAAACATCAGCGGCATCTATTTAGTCGTAGCCATTTCCATGGTTCACTGATCCCTCATCCTCAGTAGCTCACCCTCACGTACATCATCATCCTCGAATCGTATGCCTATCGTCAATCTTGAAGATGTTCTCGCCGTAAACGCGTGTCCAACCATCTATGCACGCTACCCGGAAGAACAACCACGCCTATCTGACTCGCTCGAGGACGAGCTTCTCGAAGGAATGGAGATGTCGGGATGCAGTTGGACTGCATCAGCTGTTCGGAGGCTGGCCGACGAGAGTCGAGCCCGGCAGTGACCCCCGTGGCCCGGACACCACCCGGTTGCCACCATCCCCCCTATCCCATCACCCTTGTATATTATGTAGATAATAAATATTTATATAAAATATTGTAACCCGCTACACATCAGGTTAAAGGGAGTAGCTAATCTTTTATACCTGACAATATAATAGCTGGCAAAATTATCGACGATGCGCCGCAGAAACTGAAGAGTATATGTCAAGAATAACGATAGCTAGGGCGGCGTGGCAGGAGTTCCCAAAGCCTGACCGCTTCTCCTCGCAGGGGTACTTGACACCTCCAGAAATCCCTTGAAGGACATCACACCTTCTCGGGGCCAACGGCTCCGCCCATCACTCCTCCCTTTAGGTCCTCTCATTTTGCAATGTTTACAGCATGAGGATAATAGAACTGAAATCAACTGAAATTGAGAAACAGAGAAAATTCCAGGGTTCTTTTAGTTTTAGAATCCGTATAGATGACTGCACTGAATTCCAGCATTTCGGATTATGTTTTACTCATGTTTTCGATTGAAATGACGCTTCCTTAAAAACTTTTAAGTGCTCGCGCTTGAGTAAATTTGTGAAGCATATCATAGTAATGTGAATCAAGCAGAGGTTATGAGTCTTCCCATACGGTATATAACAAAGAAATTAGTCAATTTCACGCAAGTTGTAGTCATCTAAGTAAGAATATAGCGAATTACATATATTGCAAATTTAGTGTCGCACTTGGAACTCTTAGCTAACTTTTCGATTGTCGACGAAGGTTTCTATTCTACGTCGATTGTAGGAAATACTACACTTGAAAATTTTCCTTGATAATTCGGATCTCATTGATCATTAGAAGAGCTGGAATGAAAAAACTTATGAATATATGTGGCAGACGAAAATAGAAAAGTTTATGCGTTAATATCCTAACTGTTGGAGAAAGCGTTCAGTTGCTTACTCGGAGACTTTGGTATACTCGTTTCGAAATCGGTCCTTCTAATGTCGAGAACGTAACGGGTTCTCAAACTCCTGATGCTAAATTACTCCAATCAGATGACCGGTAATGTGCAATTGATCAACTAGGTCATTCAATATTTTGAATGGCTGAATTTTCTATTCAAAAATTCTGTGCAATTTTCCCTTTCTGAAAATAATTTTCAGAAGTTTTTTTCAAAGGATGGCGTAGCAGAGGTTTCCAAGCCGCCTCACCTGGGAAATGATAACTATGTTCTTCGTTTTTTCTCCATTTTTCTCTCATTACCTCAGTATCTGAATCTACGTTCTCGCTGCTTGCACACCTCACAATGAGACCGATAATTGGGTGGAGCAATGGGCGGAGCCTGACCTCTAAGGCACGGAGGTGCTAGAACCCTCCTGGGTGTGAATGCTGGTGCGAGGTTGGTGCGAGGAAAGGTGCTAGGAACTCCTGCACGCCCTCCCGATAGCTAGCAATAGTGGCGCTGAGTGCCCGGGTCTCAATAAAGTTACAGAGGTATAGTCGTCCTCACCCCACTGGTCGCTGTGGTCGAATTCGAATTTGAATCGGAGCAGACGAATGAGAATGATCATAGCACCCCTGCAGCAGACGAGCTCACGCAAGAAGTATAATTTGCAGCAGCATATACGCAAAATATCAGTTTTCTTTATCCGTGCTTTATGTTATCGCCGCTATCTTTTTTGGGTGGAAATAAACAGCAATTAGTCAGATCACCATAAACACGTGTTAGAAGTCTTTCAAGCTTAATTCAGTATGTGAAGCATGTGGCCCTCTAAAACCAATGTAAGAGACGATTCAATGAGAAGAAATGCAATCTTCTAACTTGGTTTTTTGAAAGAGTGAGTGCGGGCGGGTGTAGGCCCTTCTGAACCCGCTCTAATCGCGGTGGCTACGATAGGTCAGCGCGTCTCAGAGGTCACATCTTAATTCGCTGCTTCAATAAGGCGAGCGGTTGACCTAAGCAGATGCGCTGCGGAAACGGACGAGTTCCTCAATGACTCCCTCCCTCGGACCCTTGATAGAGATAACGTAGACGGATGATTCAGCGGAATGCTGCTATTCTGCTGTCTTACCTAACAAACTCTTTACTATTTACTGAACTGACGTGCTTCCAATCAAATCTGTGGGATGTGTTTGCTTCGACTACTGAAGGGTTCTATTTTTGGTTGAGTAAGGTGAGTGCTGGTAACTTTTTTGCACCATGTGTGCAATCCTTGCTGCATCGTATATCGTCACACTCATATGTGTATGTGAACTAAACGAAGCCTGCAGGGAAAACACACTTTTCGGTTTGATTATTGCTGATAACCCAAGACTCAAGACTCTTGTTAATTAGTTTGTCGCCCATAGTTTGATTCTGCGCCCATTATAGCAGCTGCATAATTATATATTCATGTAAACCATACAAATACTTATCAGTTTTGAACCTAGTTTTAATACAGCTCAGAAATTTGATCTACAAGCGGGGGTCTATGAACATTCGAAATTTCATGCACATCTCAAATTAGCAAGAAAGGAGCAGCGTTTGCGCAAGAAACTGCTACCAAACAAATGCCTTGGTATTGACCGGAAGTGGTTTAGAGCAAAAACTATAAATTATTAGGTATCGTGCAGAGTTCAAAGAAAATTATCTGTTGTACTTTGAATTGTGGGGCGGGTAGCGTGTGCTTTCCTCTCCACGCATCATGCAGTTCACAACGTTCAAACGTGTAACAATGCATGAAGCAGAAAGGATGCACACAAACAAAATGTGGCAGTAAAAGTAATAAAAATGACATGAGAAACCATTCATATTATTCAAGAAGTTTAGAACAGTTTCTAAAAACAAACCTGGTTGATAATACGATCAGGATAAAGTTAGGCCGTAGAATAGCAAAATGGTGCGAATAGCAGCATTACAGAAATGGGACTGGATAAGGTGGGGATCACTACTGCGTTCAGATGTGAATGCTGGAAAGGGTCGAGGTGCGCTGAAGACTTTCGAAAATAAAGCATTCCGCAGAAGACTCGTCCGCAATGGCCGCAGCGCAGGCGCCCGCGTCCTACTTGCGGGGTTACTGTAGTAGACGGTGGGTTCAGAAGGGCCGCCTCCCAGTGCGGGATATGCGCGCCGCGAGCACTTGTCACCTACGGCTGGCAGAGCTATCGTTATTGAACTCGATTTGGACTGTGAATACATTAGGTTGGCACATAAGTCTTGCAACTTTTTCTCATACCTTCTGTCTTTTTGAATATGGCGCTTCCATTATTGGTATCATAATGATTGCCACACGAGCAACGAATGCAATCATTTTCGCTGAATTCCATCACAGCAACTGAGGGTTACGGTAGGACAATTTTTAAATGGGAAAGAAAAATGAGTTGCAACAGGTTTGATGAAACTTGGTGTAGGGGGACAATACGACATCCTGATTGCGAAAATGATATTCAAATTACGTGGAAGAATTATTTTGCCACAAAGAAGCTAGGTTACGAAAAATCAATTGGTTAATTTTTGATCCCGACAACAACTGAATATGATATCCGTGCTCAGCATTAAAAATTATCCCATTTTGCAAAGGCCAAAACCCGACGATTCCGACTGCTTGGCATGAATTTCCGAGGTGATTTTGACGCATTCGACTCGTCTGATTTTAGGAGTACACTTTGCGCAGATTTACAGCTCATTTTCGAGTCTACAAAACGCCGAAATCTTAATGCGTCTCATGCGAAGGGAAAGAAGTTATGGATAGAGTTGCAAAAGTTATGTGTCAACTACACCACTAGCAATTATGACAGGTTCAAGTCGAGGCAGCGGGTAATGCATAAACTCTAAACTCTTGTTCAATATCCTATGATTATTATAGATAAGCAACTGTAGGGTTCTGACTAAACAAGGTATCCGAATCTTGAACGCACGAATTGGCCGTATACTGCGAGCTGCGCCGTGCGGCCCAGCTTATGTAGCCGCACCGCGCATGCTTCGCAGCCTAAAGTTCATGTCAATCACGTGCTCCCTTTACCGTAAGCGCGATGAGCTTCGCGCCACATTCGCGCGCGTATGGCTCTGGCATTCAAATCGGCCTCATCGATTGGAGGTCCGCGCGAGGGCCCTTGCGTTGCGCAAGCGTAATTCCCATGCGAAGGAGAGTACGTAATTGACATCGACTGTAGAGACGTCCGTGCGGTCAACAACTCGAAAAATTCTATTCCAAGAGGATCGCAAACATGCTCAAAAAGACCAATTTGATTTCCTCCTGCTTTAATATATAGCTCCCAACTATCACTCAAGGTTAGAATTTATGAAAAAAATACAACGATGATGCATAGAACAGCGGACATTGTTTCTACACATTGATTTTGGGCCAATAAACGATTGCACATAGTTTCTGTACCACGTTTTCTAATCGTATGTTGTCGCACCACAGCAATTCTTTCGTTATAGAATTCACAACTTTTCTCCTAGTGCGCCTGCGGATTGACCCATTTTAGAATTCCGTAGACAATACCACATATTTTTCAGCAGTAAAAGGTTCCTCAAAGTGTCGTTGGAAACAGGTTTTTTCGAAAACCTTCATAGTCGTGAGAGGCGCAGCATCCTTTCTGCACCCTGTAAAAAATTTCCAGCCATCTTGCGCATGCAATATCAATAGCAAAGGTCATAAATTTCAATTTTTGGGAAGCTCAACTGAAATTTCGATAGATTTGACCAATTGTCCCAGCTATTGTGACGTCTTTATAGCAAAGACCATGATTTTGACTTCTTATCTGAGTAAACTTATTATGTGAAACTGCGAAATCAATCAAAAGTTGTTTTCAGGTTTATGAAATTTCCTTTTTTTCAATTCTGAGTTTACCGAGCCCATGTCTAGAATAAGAGATTCTGATAACTACTAGGTAAGCTTGGCTTACAAGGGAACGATACTCAATGTCCGTGGCCTTTCGA